ATAGAGTTATATTAGCTATTTAAGCTACAGAATCTAATTTATTACTTACCTAATAGTAAGCTACGTATCTCTTTAGCGTATATAAAAGTACTATCTATAACTAACGCGCTAGAAAGGCTTTAAGACGCGATACTTAATCTAATTAATTAAAACTCTAGAGGTATAAAGAGAAGGCAGTTTATAGTATATAAGAAAGCTTAACGTATAAAGCTTTACCTCTACGCTTAGCTATATATAAGAAATAGCTAACTAGCTGCTAGCTACTTATAGTAGTAGCTAGATTAGAGAGAAATAGGCTAGGAACTTTATACGCTAAAAGCCTGCAATTAAATTTTAAATTACTAGATAGTGTAGTTATTAGAGAGTTTTATATAGTAACCTAATAATAATTAGCTTCTAGTTTAACCTTATACATAATATTAAAGCTAAGTATAGTATCTTAGATAAAGATACTTATAACTTTAATAAGATAGGCTTTTAGATAGGTATTAGAGAGACTATTAAAGTTATAATAGCGTTAGAAAGGCGTACTAAGTCTCTTAGAGTCTAGTCTAGCGATTATAAGTAAGTAACGTTAATTGCTAGTATTAACGCAATAGAGTAGTTAATTCTACTATTTCTTATTCTTAAAGTAAAGCACTATAACTATACCTAGTATTATAATAACCTAAAAGACTAGAGAATAAGTATTAGTAATAATAGTTAGATAATAAATAAGCTTAGTCTAGCCTAGTTATAGTACTTTATCTAGTATATAGAAGCTTAAATAGTAGATAGGTACTACCTACTTATTCTTAATAGCTATAAGAGCTATAAGTTACTTACCTTCTAAGATCTATATAAGAAAAGTAATATTATTTCTCTTTATATACCTCTACACTTATTATATATTCTCTAGCTACTTAATATAGGTTATTTTACCTTACTAAAGCAGGCGTATAAAATAGAACTTAGAGGCTTAGTAGATAGCTATATCTACTATATTAATAAGAAAGCCTTTCTAGCTATCTTTAAGCTAATATTTAATAAGGCGTTCTTAAAGAATAACATCTTATTAAGCTTTTAAGTAACTAGCTTAGTTCTATATAATCTATATATAGTATTATTTAGGCTTAAAGTACTACTTTATACACTAACACTACTTATACTAGAGCTTACCTCTTAGTAATCTAAAACACTAAGTAACGTCTAGAAGATAGAGACTTAAATAACTCTAATTATTAAGAGAATAATAGATTATAAGAAATTATTACTTAATTTTATTATTAAGATAGTGCTATAGGTTAAAAAGAGATTAACTTTAAAGGTGTACTTACATACGTTACTTAAGACTAGAATAGCTAATCTTAAGAAGGTAAACTAGATAGTATCTAAATGTAAGAAATATAAGAAAAAGTAAATCTAGAAAGAAAGAACTTTATCTTAGATAGAGATAGAGAATATAGTTAGGTAAAAGAATATTAAAGCCTAGCTAGAGGTAGAGAGACGTTAGAGAAGAGTACGCGTAGGTAGTAGTATAGAAGGTATTTAACGCTACAAGAACTATAGTAAGATAGAATATAATAAGCGTATATGTAAGAAAGATATAGTAGAAGTAGAGAATTAATTCTTACTATTATACGTCTTAATAGTTTAACTTAATATTAAGTTATCTATATTTAATAGCGTTAGTGTTAGTAGAGTACGTATTTCGCTTACCTAGGTATTTCGCTTACCGGCTACGTTATCTAAAAAATAGAGAATTATATAATAAATAATATTCTATATAATAGCTAGTAGAATAGTCTTTTAAATAGCTACTATAATAGCTTTTATTTAAATATAATTAGAGTAACCTATAGAGACTTTAGTAATAGTAATATAGTGATAGAAGAAATTTATTAATAATAAAGTAGCTTATAAGCTTAAGTAGATAAGATAATATAACTAGTAATAAAATTAGTTTTATATTAACTTATAATTACCTATAAGACTTATAAGATATTAATTTTATATACTAGCGTAGCTTCTAGCTTTAGACTTAAATTACTATTAGCTTTTTTATAGATACTTAGAGTTCTAAAAGTTATAGAAATATAAATAATAGAAAAAGTATACTTTTACTAAGCTATTAGTATATATATTCTAACTATTAAGCTTTTAAATATATTACTCTATTAGTTATAAGCTAATAAGTATATATAATTAGATTATAACCTTCTTATAAAGTTCTTTTATAGAAAATTAAGTATTATAATTCTTTTATAAAGTATTTAGTATTAGAATAGCTAATTTCTTAGTTTAAAAAAGTTAAAAGCTTTAGCTATTTTAGAAGTAGTAGCACTAAAGCTCTAAGTCTTAGCTTACTTAATACTTTACTTTTAAAAGTAAAAAAAGCTTTTAGTTATACATTTTTTAAAGTACTAGTAATAGTTCTTACTTCTTTAGAATTAGTAGCTTTTTAAGCTAAAATTTTACTACTTAAGATTTAGATTTCTACTAATAAAAGATAAGAAGCTAGAATTTTACCTAGAAACTATAAAGAAAAAAGTATAGTAAAGTATCTACGCGTTCTATATCTCTCTAAAAGAATATTTTAAAGTAATATATATATTTTATTACTCTTTACAAGCTTTATATAGAAGTAGTACTTATATAAGTAAGCTAAAAAAGTAAAATAGCGTAGGCTCTAAGGCCTACGTAGTCTTACACTTTTAAAAATTTAAAATACTACTTTTAGTATTAGCTTAAAGTAGAGTAGCTAAATCTATTTAATATATTTACTTTAGATTTTAATAGAAGTAATAGCAAGAAACTTATATTAACGCCTATCTAACATGTTAAGCCTATGTGAAGCTCTAGCCTGCGCATCGCGTACCATTGTCGCATCTTCTCCAAGGTCGATTAGGCGCATCTTGTTAGTAGCTAAGACACCGGAGATTGCTATGCGGTCATGTTGGTACGCGTTAGCTTCTTCAACTAGGCGATGTAGTCGATAATTTTGTAGCGAGGGCGATGCAGAACTGTGCTGTGTGTGGTGCAGGTCCTGTGTGCAGGCGCTGTACTGTGGCAGCCCAGATGCCATAACGACGTACGCGTTCTGGTAGTGCACGGATTGTGCTACGTTCGCCCCTGCGATAATCCCGCACTAGCCAAAACAAGCGGAGGGTCGGGACCTGCACGCTGGAGGTGGCACGTCTTTTGTTGCGCCTGCGGCCACCTCCAGCCCTGCGCAGTTTCAGGGCCGCTACGCGTGCACGGCCACACACACCAAAGCTGCGCGCCCCTGTCATTACACACCCTCTGGCCAACACAGTCTATCCATTAGCTTGAGGCAACAGAAAGCAGGAAAGCGACTCAGGAAGACCGCTACAATTTCTCATGCACCGTCCCGTGTAAGAGCAGCAGCCCGGGTGGTTCAGGTCCAGCGTCGCTCGCATGCGCCATCATCACAACGTAGGTAGCGGTGTGATGCTTACATGATATTCACCATCACATGCAGATGTCTCTTGGTCATTCCCACCCATCGCCGGCAAGTCTATGGGTGCCTATACTCGTACAGTCTCATCCCGCCAGACAGTCGCTGTTGCATCGCTGTGTCGTTGGGAAAGAACAAAACCAAGGGCGGAAAGCCTATGGACGGGAACCCTTCATTATCACAAGATTCGTGGAACGACAACGCTGGTAAAGTACCTTGGACCGCATACAGAGGCATGAGAGGTCGCTGTGCACCTTACCTTCTCACCATGTTTCGCCAGCTTGAGCATCAGCACACACGCTTTTAGCTGCATTCACGATACTGCTGCCTGCTCCATCCTTCAGTCTCCCAATTTTTTCACACTATCATGTAACATCTGTATTCACCAGACTACCCTTCCTTTACGCTGGCGTTCCCAACAAGCCTACACGAGGACCAGCAGCGTATGCATCGCGCCTTTTCTGTGTTCTTCAACAAAGCCCGACTGTGAGTATAAAGCGTTTCTTTCGCTCACGTACTAACATTTAAATTTAGTATTCTCTGCGAGATTGCGCTAGACAGCGTGCTGCTTCCTCGAGAGATAACATTGCTGGGAAGCAACTACCCTCTGCCCAGTGTTCCAGAGATGGTGGTATCAGAAGTTGTTATCTATGTGCATCTTTATTGCGCGAGGGTATCGATTCCTCAGAACTCGTCAAGAGAGAAGACAAGTCTGAACGCGGTGATGCAAGGGCGCAGAGGAGCTCAGCGTCTCTTGCATGTAGAAATAGCTTCCTCCGCTCAGCGGGACCGCCGAAGCCTAGACACCATGGTAGACGACCTGTTCCTGACCAATCTGATTGCTAACTTCGCTCGATACGAAAGGCCAGCCTGCTTCAGGTGTGCAAAAGTATAATGGAAGGGCACAAAACCTATAGTCCAAGCTTCTCACTATCCAGACGGAGTGGCAAGACAAACACACATCGGACTTTGACACGATTCTACATGGTTGCAGCATTCAGGTGTGGGATACGCCGTCTCTCAAGGCGCAGCAATTGACGAGCAGTAATTCCTGATTCATGATCTTTGCAGGAAAGAAGCTGACGCCAATAAGTTGCCTGAACTCAACCGTCGAGAGAATGTAAGACAGCTCTGGACGTGGCCCATTGATCGAGCGAATCTCAATCAGCCCCGCCGTAGAGACCCCGTGTTCGAATATACAGATAATACCCATGCTGTGCAGTATAGCAGTGTCGTCAGAAAGGCTCATATTGACCACACTAATCACGCCGGGAATAGTGAATACATCGCTGGAAACGCGCACGCCGAGAGTACAAACTATGTCGATAACAATGATGAAACTACAGGAGACATTCACCTTGAGTTTTCGAACAGCGTCGAAGACAATCAGGTACCAGCAAAATTTATTTTGCGGCGGCGAGAGCAGACTGTATAAAGAACTGCCCGCTAAGCAGTAGCCATAAACTCACAATTCATCTCAATTACAACTCCGCAAAGTTGTTGACATTGAATCGCCTACCGCACCTGAAGATTTTTCCACACAATGGTTCGCATTACAATCAACAGGACTGGGGGAAACACGACCATCGACGTCAGCGAGCTCGACGACAACGGCGGCGTCTATATAGAAGGCCTGCCTTGCACCTCCGCACATGCGACATCGCATCACGAATCGGGTAACTTCAGTGCCGGTGATGTGGGTACTACTGGTAGACCCGGATTACCTGGAGGAGCCAGATCTGAAGACGGCACGCAAACTACCACCGATCGTTACACGGGCACACAAAGCAACTTGGGAAGGCAAGAGTCTAATCTTGCTACTCAACTACCTCTTCCGTCGACGACTGGAATGACTCCACCCGTATCCGACTGCCCCTTTCAAGGGTTCGCAGACCTGTTAACGACTAGACTTGATCGCCTAGAACTATTGATCGAGTCGACAGAACGATCGAGAGCTAGACACCCAGCACAGGATCTGTTGTCTTCTCGATCTCTCGCAAGTGCGCCTGTTCCGTTTAGTCAAGAGACGCTACATCAACAACGCCAAGATCGTCTCGATCGGGTTCCAAATATTGTTGACATCCACGATAACGACTTTCACCATAACGTAACTCGTCCTCTTGCCCTTAACGACAACGAGTTCCGCGAGCCGCCAGAGCAATACCCGGAACAAAATCCAGGACAGTTCCTAGCACAGTCCATGAAGAGCGGCATAGACCGGCCGCTTCAACCCGATGCGCAAAGAGACCCAGATCCATACATGGAGAGCGGGATGGACAGGCCGCTTGGGCACGATAGACAAGATGCTCGAGCTCAGTCCATGCGGAGCGAGTCCTACAGGCCTCTAGATTATCCTCCTGACAATCTCGAGCCCGAATTCGACCCTGTACGAATATGCCTACTTGGCATCACGTATTTGGTTTATATCATCGTTGTAGCCGTTATCGTCTTTGTCGCAGCAGACTGGCTGTTTCCAGTCGACGAGCTCCCCCTTATTTAAGTCAACGATTTCACAGTTATAACAGTTTTTAAGGTCAATCAAGCGATTCCACAGAAGTACTTTCAGTGAATTGATAGAGCACAGCACCGTTCTAGATCTTGTTACAATTTACGTAGTAACAATGTATTTATCTCGAGAGAGTCTAAGTAGTATGCTGTACGAGAGATCTGTGACAAAAGACGCAGACTACTTGAGCTCAACTGCGCTGAACGTGACTGAGGAAAGTGTTGGGTGAATCCTTATTGCCTTACGTGTGAAATCCAGGTGATCTAAGATGCCCTTCCACTCAAGTGCAGATCTGTAATCAATACCAGGGCTGTAACAACCTGGCAGATCGGATTGTCGATGTCGGCAATTGTGCTTGTCGCAGTAGTCCACTCGACCGTCAAGCCCGTACATTGCTAGTTTGTTGTTTCTCCCAGCTCGAGGCAGGATAGGGATAATGTTCATGGTTGGCGCTGGTCAGGTTATTCCTCGACGTATGCCGCCGATGTGAAGCCCAGGAGACCTCCGACACTGTCGCTGTCGGCCTGGACAGGCACGTTGAAGGTGAGCGCGTTAGTCACGAACTGCCACACCGCTATTGGAAGCAAGTCGAGCAGAAGCAGTGACCAACAGTTATCCTGCCAGAGTGTGATGAGTAGCAGGCGGCGATTATGACTTGGATATCTAAGCTTGATGAATACAACTGTAACCGTCAAAAGCTACCGCGACCGCAAGACTGATGTCCAAGTGCGTGTTGTGGAAGGTGGGGAGAAGTAACCTGAAGTAAAACTGGGCGGAGGGAAGGTGAAGAGATCGACGGTGAGCAATCCATAGCCGTGTGACATGATTGCGGTGTTGCTGGGTGGCACGACAGCAATCACGTCCGTACCCGCATGACAATGGCCCCAGCGGGCAAACGACATGTTTCTAAGGCTCTCTCACTTCTGGTCGTAAACTCCAACCCGTTCCATCTGAATCACAGCATTCTTCTAACCGTGTCCATCGAGCAGCGTTACACCACGAATGTGCGATTCCCACAAGCCCGGGGAAGAAGACAGCACTGCAGTGAGTCTACGACAAGCCTGCAAGCCGAACGAATCTTTGCTTCAAATCTTGCGCGACATGAAAAACTATCTTGACGATATCGAAGAATGCATCACGCAAGCCCAGCATTGGAGGATGGTAGAAAGCATAGGGGAAAGGGGGAAAAGGAGGGCCTAATTGCTCCGCAACTGCAGAGTCGCACATAGATACGCACGTAAGATATTGACGCCGACGACGAGGAAGGAGTCGAGAGCTATAATTAGCGACTATCGCGACCTTGCACTAATAAAAAAAGGATGTTGTGGATATATAATATTTTACAGAAGAACTGCCCGATCTTGTGGACGCACTCGGTAGGCCGACGGAGCCGTTGCTGAGCCTAACACTTAGATTACTGAACTCGGCACAAGATTGGGAAGAGTGGAAAGAAAGGATGGCGATGGCAGCATGCGATGTTGTCGAGACGTATTACAGATTATAAGCTCTGTGGCTTGACTTGCAGGGCAACAGCACGACTAGGGATGCGCTGTGGTTCGTTATGCCGCCTCTGGGAATTACTGAAAGACTACTGAGTGGAGAGGGGGAACGCACCAGAAGGGAATTTTAGTGGAGAGATGACCTCTTCACGTACTTTGAAGACGCGATCGAGACCAGACGGGCGGCTGGGTGAGACATGGGGGACGAGTACGTGGACAGGACGGGACATCTACGACTATGTTAGGCTGAGCTTAAGCTGCGTGAAATGTTAAAGAGCGTGAAAGCGACGACATAGGCTGATTATACGTAGCCCATGGACTGGTTCGTCACGAGTGAGTGTAGGGGTGATATATCGAGCATGCATGAAGGTTTGACGCTAGTACCAAATCAGCGTGGCGCAGTCTCGCCTCCACTGGTGCGTCATCGCCCGACGTCGACGGGTCGCGACACGCGCGTGAAGGCCAGGCGCAGCACGAGACCATGGAGCTCAACCCACACATGCCATGCTCGACATGCCTTCTCGTCACCTCCAAGGCCGGATGCAGCAGCCCAGGCCGCCGCGACAACGGCGCAGGCAACGTACGTGCTGCTGCATGTCTCGGCCTGCGCAGCGATGACCGACCAAGACAGCAACGCGCCCCAGGGCCTACCTTCTGTCGAGGGGCTGGCTGCTATCGTCCTGGCCCGCCTTGCCACTACCGCCATCACCGACCGTTGACCAAACCAGATTGCAGAGGAGATTGCGCGTATAGATGACCTCCTCCGAACCCAAGAGCGCTTGACCGCGCATCGAGCCTTCGAACAACATCCGCAGCCGCCTGCACCGAGTTTCCCGACGACCCAACATGACCGCGCACAGCAGCCTTCGGAAGATGTCCAGGAACCTTCGTTCTCCCGACTCAGCCGATCGCAACGAGGTCTCCTACGAACCCCCAACATCACGAATTACAGCCTCCGGGATAGGTTCAAAACCCAACAGGACCACGAACAACAGTCTCCGGGCGAGGGCCAGCAAGCCTTCCGTCCAGAGCCCCAGGCCCATGCATCAAACGCCCCGACGCTGGACCACAACCTCGGCGCAGAGGACAGATGCGAGGAACCCGATCTCCCGAAAGAGACAGCCAAGACGATACAAGCGCGCTACGATGGGCTGAAGAAACCCCAAAGTTCTGTAGCGCATTAGGGCATCTGGCGCCAGACGAACCCTACGCCGCACAAGCGCTTTGTCCCTGACGTCCGTACGCACAAGGCCACGCTAGGTGACAAGTCCCTTCAACTCAACGGCTTAACCTCCCACGACGCCACACCGGGCGACATCTTCGCTGAGCTGGAGCCACGGGTTCTCCATCTCTCTTCGAAGCTAGCAGAGCGCAAGTACCACTGCCTTGTTCTTCTTGCCTTTAAATTCTCTAGTCTAGGCAAGACGCGGGTAATAACGGGCGACGCTGCAGGTAGCCCGTTCACCTTAAACACCTCTGTAATCGGCTGCACATCCCAACTTCTCTTCGAGCACAAGCCACCAGAGGATAGTGTTGTTAGACGATCAATAGAGATACGTCCAAGCAAGATCAAGCAGATTAAAGTTTATACTCTCGAGAAAGGTCGAGCAACGGTAGCAAAGCGTCTTGACAAGTGGAAGGGAAGTAGATTTCACCAGGCATTATCACACACTAAGCTCGAGACTCACGAGGCTGCCATAAACGTCGTACATTGATGCGTTAAAGCCCGCCGATGCAGAACGACCCCACGCAACCTTCCCAGCTCGTCACGTTCGCATCGGTTTATCTACTTCGACTTTGTTGCCATGGGCGAGAATAGGGAGCTACTTCTAGACGATATTGATGATCCTTGTGATACCATCGTATTTAGCGATCTTGCCGGTTATGAAACAGGTGAAGTCGAAAGAGCCGACATCAACGGGGGACTTGGCGGCAATATTAATACAATGCCGCTATGCTTGCTCACACCCGTTTCCCACGTTTGTCTTTGCGTCGATCTAATGACTTCCGCTCTTTGTCGCGCTCTCTCCGTTGTAAGATGCGTACACAGCTGGTTGCCTGCACACTAGTCTTTTCCTCCGTCGCCGCGAACATGAGCAGCTTCTGTTGATCTCTTCATACATCTTCGCACCATTCGCTCGCTAGGCCAGTACATACACTCTTATCGTAACCCTTGCTGGCCTCTTCGCAGCCAACACTGCACTTGCAGCATCAGTCCATCATCTCTAGCTCTGCCGTCCGACCATCTTCACGATATCGATCAAGTCTGGGGTCGTCTTCCAACTATTCCATCACGCCAACCCATTCCAATTCATTGCGCGCTTGCAATCCACAACCCCGAAATCAACTCTCATCTTGATCGTGCTTGCATTGTCCTCACCTGCACAGCCCACCGCGCTAAACGCAGACTCCGGCCTGAACCTCGACAAAAGGTATCTTCATGTACCTCCGATTCTCCAAGGTGCATAGTATCATCATTAAGATCATTATCGCATTCATCGCGCTACTCCTCGCAAGATTCATCGCAACGCATCGTCTGTTCCTATGGTTAGCTCCTTCCAAGTGGCTGGCGGAGCGATTATCTCGTCGGCCAGACTACTTTCAAGACCCCTGGTAATACGCTACAGCGCTATCGGGAGCAACGTTCAACTTACATGAGCTTGCATGATGGTGGCAACGTACTATTCTGCACTGAACTGGTGGCTCTTGGTCAGCATTGTCATTGATATATCGGTATTCGTGGGGGCGTCGATGTACTTCTTCGGCCCAAATCAACTTTGTGGGCTGGCCCACGGCGAGCAAGAGGCAGCCAACAGCAAGACGCTCCCCCCAATGATGATGTGGAAGACGGTGCGAAGTAGATGCTGAAGAAGAGTTCATAGATTCTCACGGGGTCGACGTTAATCATTAGCCGCCATTGGAAACAAGACCCTCAGTCTCCTGCCACTTATCAAGCAGCTCGCCGAAAATCTAGAGCTTCTTCTGTCCCTTCCGAGACAGGTGCGCTGATTCAATCATAACCGCGTAAGGCATCTCCACCCGGACAACCCACGCCCGAAGAGCCGCCAAAGCTTGGCAAAGGACGTGTGCTCTTGCTGCCGTGTCTCGCAATGTATGCACTCCTTATCGGTACAACCCTCTTTGTCTTCGGCGCCTGAGTATCATACCTTCGTTCGGGGCAGCATGGAGAAGTTCGCGCGACGATACCTACGCCTCCCATACGCACCCTGTCAACGTGAACTCAGACGCGACGAGATGATTACCTCTTCCATCAATGGCTTCAGTAGGCAAGATGAACGTCGTGTGCGGAGTACTGAGCATGTTCGAACTTGGCTTTTCGTCTTTGATTTGGTAGCTTTCGTGAAAGGCCAACATGGAATCGGGATTCGTTCGTTCTTGGTGATTAGCTTCGCATCAGAGTGTAGCCTCTCATATGGTTGTCATGGAGGCCAAGAACGTGGTACGCGTTGGAGTGTGTGATGTAGTCACGGCGAAGGAGGCGCAACAGCAAAGTAGCAGGCCTGTTTCTATCCCTCCCAGGTGTCCTCCCAGGGTTTATATATGAGATCTGTATACGATTTAGGTGCTCCAAACATGCATACCTCGGTGACAGGTTCAGGACCCGTGGAATGTCGCGGCACTTTCTGCCCAAGCTTTGAGCCCCAGGTGCACATGCAGTCTGCAGTCACTGGTCTTCACTCTGCTTATGCCGTAGTAATGCGGTAGGTGTGAACGAGGCTTTTTGTTTTTGAAACCATTGCTAGCAGTGAGTTCGCTCTTACGTGACATGGCTACCGATCTTGAAAGTGACGTGGGAAAGACGAGATACAAGACAAGAAGGTTGAAATACTCGAATCTAGCGAGTCCTTCGAGTTTGGAACCACTCCATAACCGTCACCATCTCTTTTGACCCTGAATGAGGTAGACACGTGCTGAACTAGATATTCTAGTAGTGGCGTTTTGGGCTTGACTTGTCTGGATAGAAGCCGTCTCCGCGTAGATCATGTGCGCGATGACCGTGCCGAATCTGCTATGCGTAGGTTCATGAGTGCATTGAAAGTCCGTACGAGAGACACAAGGGTTCTAGAATGACGACTGATGTCCCACGCTAGAGCGAGGTGACTAGCCTCTGTAGTAGTGGAAAGTGTGCAAGGGGTGGGCTGGTGACGGGGGCAGAGGCACCCAGCTCACGTTTGCTTGCAATGCCGTAGTGACTTCAAGAACACCTTCCTCTTGTTGAGAAGTTTGACTTTCCTCGTAGATGGAGAGATGGATGGTGGGTTGGGTAGCGGCGCTGGGGAGGATCTCGGAGGACGTGATGCTATCTGGACTATGGATGAACCACGTGGTACAGCGCTCTGCTTCGCCAAACTTGTGACCAGGGTGTAAGCATGAGGAGATGTCAAGCTCGATACAACGGCACTTGAGCTCTTCCTGTAGGCGTTTCTACCGCGCTAGTAACACGACCGCATCGCTGACAATCCAGGCGGTAGGGTGAAGCGCGGGGGACACGACGTTGAATGTTTTTTTTTCTGAGATACAGTCTTGATTGTGGAGCACTGAAGAGCTGATGTAGGTCCGATGCTTCGCTGTGAGGACGAGACTGCACTGATTGCTATCTCAGCATGCTTCAGAAAGAAATTTGGGTGACATGCCGTTTAGTATGAAGGGGGTTAACATGCGGTAAGAACGATATCGATTCTTTATAGATCTGACGTGCGTAATACTACAAAGCACCATCTCTGGATGAATAGAAGCGTTGCACATACAGCCTATGGCCTACGTCGTGCGTAGGCGGCCTGGCCTGCATCTTCTGATAGCAAGTGATGCACTCTGGAACAAGCAGAGCAAAGACTAGAAAGAAGGCGAGAAAGCATGTGGCAGGACATGCATCGGGGCTTCGCATCGCGATCGTATTGGGTACAGTTTAGGGGAATACCTAGCGACAATGGTTACAGAGCATGCGAGTAAGTCTAGAGTAGCCAAAAAGAGTATCTCTCTTAGCATGAAACAGGACTAAATACCTGAATAAGTTCAACTTGAACACGTCAATCACCGCACCTTTCGGGACTGGTACCAAAGACAGGCTTCGGGGAAACCTTTGACTCTTAATGGCGCATTATGTCCGTGTTTGTCTACTTTGCTGCGTAAATGCCTTTACCGCTTCGTGGAGTACAGGCGTCTGGGGGTCTATTTCCGCGATGCACGTGTAGATGCAACTCTCTACCTGATGATGGCGGGCTTGGCACTCCCTGTTTTGCGGAGATTGTTACACGACAACCTCATTCACTGCGATTTTCTAGCGTCGGAATAAGGCCTCCCGCTCTTTCCTACCGCGTACGTCCCGTTGCAGATAGGGCGCAATAGCCGGGCACGTTATGCTCGAGCTTCGATGCGGTCGGCGTAGAGTGTGACGCTCACTAGCCATTCCGACAACAGAGTAATAGGAATCCAAGCGCGGTGCAACGCTGTGTTTGTCGACCTGACGCAGAGGCGAAGAATTTAGCACTCAGCCCAGGAACTTCCCAGCCCTCCGGGGCCTGCCCTCGCTTATCTGCGCCTAGAACCATCTCGGTCTAGTCCGACGCTACCAGACGTGGTCCTAGGTCCTGCTGCCGCCGCCTCTCTAACTTTGCTGTGCTACCCGTCTGTTAGCCCCTAACTAAGCCATGCGCAGATAGAAAGCGTGGCTGTGCATAGACCATCTCAAACTCGTGGAAACATAGCGCGGGGTACCTTTGCTTCCCAGTCTAGACTGGAGGTAGGTCGCTCATTCCAGGTAAAACGCCTCAGACGATTAGCTCTCGGAGTCATCGCTACATCCGACGATCCCTCTAGCCTGTGGGAAGGGCGCTAGGTTTCTAGTGACCTTCAAGGACTTGGATATCGTGCGACTTCCAATCCCTCCCAGCGCAACCTCCAAGATAGCAAGTCCAGTCCCATGCGCACGCTGGCGCGTTCGCTAGTAGCGGTCCAAGCCTCATATATTCTACCACAAGGGTTGTAATCTCCAGAGTCTACTGCCTCTCAATGTCGCTATAGGTGAGTATGTTCACCCCTGAAGATTTGAGGAAGCTAGAGAACTTACCCTCCACCCTTTTAACCCGAACGATGTCCAACGCTAATAGTATCTGTTCTTTCGTTACATGCCTACCGCCCACAAACTGCCAACTGTGCATTTTGA